ACAAGTAATTGGAATATTGATATATAAGTTGCAAACAGATGAATGTTATGGATGTTCTTTCAAAAGTTCAGGTGTGTAACAGTCTTGTGGCATTTAGTTTCTATTTTCTTAATAGTAATCTTTACATTTTGTGGGGGAAACTTCTGTGTAGCAATGCAGGAGGAGTCACCGACTCAAAAGGAGACACGGGGAGAGCTGGAGCTTTGATGGCAAACACTGATGGTTTATTTGGAGCTTCGGCCGGAGAATTCACAAAACAAGTCCAGAGCCAGAGGTTCTGACTTCACGGTAGAGTTGCCACGTCAATTCTGAAGAACTCTACCCCAGACCCATGTATTTAGTTAGTTCAAAGAGAATAATCCACATTGTGCATAACAAGATAGAATCATAACAACTCCATCAGCTGACGCCAACAGGCAGGAACAGGGAGACAAAACACTGAGAGCACAGCAGCCAAGGTTACATGTGCGTGTGCTCAGTCAGGACAGTATGAACTGATAAACTGGGTCAAAGTTATGGGCCTTGGAAAATATTTCCCCAACAGGATCCTTTAAGGTTTAACATGCTTATGTGTAGGTCCCTTCTGGCTATAAGCATGTAAAACCAGCTACTGTACACGCTGTCTCTTTTTGCCGATGCTCAGCAGATCGTAACCAGAAAGCTTTGCTCACATTCCAGGTTAATGATACCGTCCTGGGTCTGCTCACAGCAGACGTCCCCCTGGGCCGCTTTGAATGTGCGGCTTCATGGGTTTTTCTGGAGCCTTGTGATGTTTAATGGACAGTTTTATAAGCAAGTCTAATCCTGAGGTAATATCAATGTGGAGCGTGTTATCAGGACAGTAACATGCTTAGGCAGACTTTGGTGGAGGGTTTAGCATCGGTGAACAAAACGCTCTGACAAAAATGCCTCCTGGTATCAAAAAGTAGTAAATGTTTCTAGTTTAGAAGATTAGTCTTACAAATACTTCAATATTTTGGTAATGTAATGTTTTGTAACATTACCTGAGGCCGAAATTGCCAGTTTACAGAATATTTATGGACTAAACATTTATGAACAATGAGGAAAACATTGGCCTGTCAAAATCATGAATTATTTAGTCAAACGTAAATCCAAATTAGGGAAAATAGTAAGATTCAAGTTAGGTCAAACTTGATTCATTCTGAAAGATTGCAAATAAATAAACGATAAAGATTATCAATAAATTGAAAATTACAAAAACCATACACATACCAAAAGTTAACCTTAAACATTTTTAATCAGACTCATTTTAATAAACCAATAAATGTATCATAAGTTTGGGCTATATTCACAATTTTTGTTGTCATCAACCTTTAATTAGTTTTTCCCTTTTTGTGGCAGAAATGGGCTTCCATATGCACGAGGTACAGAGAGCAGAACGATTCTATAAAGTAGATTTCTTTCCAGCTGCCTAGTTATGGTTTGACTAAAGACAATTATTTCTGAAGGTTTGTCGTTTTAGAAATGTCTGCTACCCTGAAACTTTAATCTACAATTAAACCAGCAGCTCTCAGGTGGCATTTTCTCTGTCCTAATGAAAACACAATTAAATGATTAGTTGTATTTAACCTGACTTCCTGCAGCTGTTCGGTCTGTTCGCCAACATCTTCTTCCTGGGCCAGGCCTTCATCATCATGCTGGTGTATGTGTGGAGTAAAAGACATCCGCTAGTACGCATGAACTTCTTCGGCCTCCTGAACTTCCAGGCACCTTTCCTCCCCTGGGTGCTCATGGGATTTTCGCTGCTGCTCGGAAACTCCATTGTGGTCGACCTCCTAGGTATAAAAACATTTAAACAAACGCCAACATCTGACGTAACCTTTAACTCCTAATAATCTGCTCAGATATTTGGCTAATGTTCAGGAAGGATACACAGTGAAATTAAGATAACGTAAAAATCATGAAACCTGCAACGTAAACAATTTATATAATTAAATAGCAGGGGGCCTGAATTGCATTATTTGCCTTCTATTAGTTCAAATGGATACAATTGAAATATTATAAGTGTATCAGAGAAATATAAAAACTTGTACACAACAACAGAGCGATACTTGTGTTAAAAAATCCAATGAAAAGAAAAAAAACAATGTTTTAGTGAGTCTCTGAATCCTTTCTGTTTCCTGTCTGCATTGGCTCCTATACATAGTTCGAGATTTTAAAAGGCTCACTTATTAATTTAAATAATAAATAAAAGCTACAGTGCGTGTGTTTATTTCTGTTTTTCCTCAGGTATCAGTGTGGGTCACATGTACTACTTCCTGGAAGATGTGTTTCCAAACCAGCTGGGAGGACGGAGGCTGCTGATGACGCCAGAACTTCTGTAAGTCCGAGATGTTTATTTTCTAAACTTTAAAGAGGACATATTATGCTAATGTGCAGGTTTCATATTTGTATGTTGTGTCTCTACTGGGACATGTCTCCATGCTTTAATGTTCAAACAGCTCTTTATTTGTCTCATACTGCCTGTGCTGCAGCACCTCTTTTAACCCTCTGTCTGAAACCAGAGCCCAGTCTGCTCTGATTGGTTAGCTGGCCGGCTCTATTGTCATTGGTCAACCACTTAGAAATGCCCCGTCCCTATCACCTAAAATGTGTTGGAGCGATAGCCAATAGAAGCGTAAGTGTTACATAGTGACGTCACTATGTTACGGAAGTAAACAAAGGAGACCAATGGAGGTGTTTCAGGCAAGGGGGAAGGGAAGTTTGGGATTTGAGCCTTAAGAGACCATTACATGCACAAAAAACCTGTATAACAGGAAAGAGAAGACCCCAAAATGCTCAATAGTGCCGTTATTAGTCATTTGGAAATAGATGACTTGCAGAAGACTTTAACCCTAATACGGTCCTAGAGTTTATTAATATAAAGTAAATTCAATTTGTGTTATCGTATATAAGTATTGCAAAAATATATACTGTATCTATTGTCAACATCATGAGACCCCCTTTTTCCTCCTCATAGGCGGGCCATGTTCGATCAGCCGGAGGACCCCGACTACCGTCCGCTCCATGAAGAACAGCAGGGGGAAGATCTGCTGCAGGACGAGGAGCCGCAGGAGTAACAATACTAAGACCACAATAATCTGGATAAATCTGAGGAAACAGGAAGACAGTTAGAAGATGTGGATCTGTGGAGCCCTGACTCCTCAGATCAGAGGAAATGAACTTAAAAGGGCATCCTGTAGAGTTCATTTGACCGCGATTCAGCAGAGAAATGTTTTTACGAGTAGGTCCCTGTTGTGTTTTCATAGTGCACAAGCACGGGGCGACATAAAAGACAGGGAAGAAAACCAAAAGCAAGTCAACACTGCAGGATTTAAAATGTTAATATCAAAATCAAATGTTTACTGAGGAAGAAAAGTGAGACCTCAAAGACACACACAATAACGGTAAAGGCAACATTTGTTTCTGTCAACAAAACGCCACAGGGCACCTTTAAGGTCGATTTACAATAATTGTTTTTTATTTAGCTTTCTATCGTATCTCTTGGTCTTTATCGGGGGGCAATCACATGAATGTCAGATGGTTTCATACGAGGATACATTGTAAACCCTTTCTGAGGTCAATAAGATGCAAGGGCTTCATAAAAAGCTTGTTACTGGACATTTGGGTTAAGATTTTGCCCACATGAGTTGTTTAAAGTCTAAGATGTACGTGCATGCCTAACAGAATGTATGCCTGAATTTGAGTTTGTCAAAAATATTCTTTAAAAACCCCAAACCTAGCAACGAGACAGTGAGTGATTCACCTGATCCGTGTTTATAAAGCTATTCACTTAGACTTTATCAGCATAAACAAATATAAACCTAAGTAAGCACACTCCAACTGTGTAAAATAAGTCAAAGCAGTTCCCTCCCTGCTGCTGTCACAATGAACTGCCGACCTCCAGAAACCAGCACACTCTGCACTTTCACCCGCTGCCTTTTGTGGGTCAAACACTGGCAAACTAAATGGAAATTGCTTAGCACAACAACAAGCAAACAAGTCTCTGTGGGAGCGTCCGACAACCACACATACTTCATTGTCAGTCATGACACGGCACTGTGGAACATTTTAGTCAAGAAAACGTTTCTGTTTGCAGGGATTCAATGGAAAGCATCAGCAAGAAGATTTATAGGAAAAATCATCGTGGTATTGACAATTCAATGTGGGGAAATTCACACACACGTACCTGATATTTAACATTTGAATTTGTTAAAAAAAAATAAATAATCTAAAGACGTAATATTTAATTGCAATTTTGCTGCCCAGTATTGCAATTTAAACTAATTTGTTCTAGAAATTAAACTACAGCCTTTCATTTGTGACTTATATTAAACAAAGAAAAAATAGAAACTTGTTTATTTGTACTTGTCAGTTCAACATACAGAAGCCTTTTTAAAAAACTGAACAAATTAGCTCACTTTTAGAAATGACACTGCATATTTGACCAGCTCGAAGAGGCTGTATTTAGACAAAAGGTGACGTTAAGCTTAATGCTAACAAAGAGATGCTAACACTCTTACACATGACAATGTTAAGCTGGTATGTTTAACATGTTCAACTTTTTTGTTTAGCGTGTTAGCATCCTAGCAATACTTCTGAAAGGCAGTTGGTCATTGACTTGTGATGGACACAATTTAAGCTGATGGCTGATATAGAGGGAAAAGTCAAAGGATCATCAAAGTTATAAAAATGTACACAGAGGAAAACAGATATCTGTAGAAAATGTAATTGCCAACTATATTATTTGAATCTCAAAGAAAATATTAGACTGACACATCACACTGCCTGTTACCAAAGAAAATATGCCACCTTTAAGTATCACAACCGCTAATTAAAACACCATTTATTTTGTGAGCTAGAAATAAAATGTAGCTCTCAAGATGGAAGAAATTACACTAAGGTGCCATGCATATTTAATAAAACAATAATATCATATTCTCATAGTAATGCAGAAATTGTTTATTCATTTACTTTTTAAGGGGCCCTATTACACTCATTTTCAGTTTCATATTTTGTGCCTCGACTGTTTCCACGATTTAATGTTCAAAAATCTCTTTATTTTTCTCATACTACATGTGCTGCAGCACCTCTTTTCACCCTCTGTCTGAAACCTGAGCCCAATCTGCTCGGACTGGTTAGCTGGCCGGCTCTGTGGTGATTGGTCAACCGGTTAGAGATGTGCCGTCCCATAGCAAATCACGTACAATGTGTTGGAGCGCAAGCCAATAGGGGCATGAGTGTTACATAGTGATGTCACTATGTTATGGAAGTAAACCAAGGACTATAAAGGAGGCATTGCAGGCAGGGGGGGGGGGGAAGAGAGAAACTCCTTTGCAAACCATTTAAATGCACACAAACCCAGTGGCGAACCGCCAGGGTTCAGAGAATACCCTGGAACACTCAGACAAAAAATAGATTTAATTATATAAATAAAAATGTATATAAAATGAATAAATGAGAATCGTATCTGTGTTGTTGATCTGTAATATTACAGTGTTACGTTGATTTGTTTGTCCTTCTCGGACCATGCACTACGCATTTGAGTGGTTTTGTGTTAGAAAAGAAAGCAACCAATCAGATCTTGTTCTGGGTCTCTGGGTAGAATATCCTTCAACCAAGGTATTCTACATCCTTGATAGAAGGCCTTGGCTCAGAGCCCTGGCCGTTGCACTGAATGAGAGCGTACGTTTAGACCGACAGTTTGACAGTGTCTATCACATACAGTAGTGATAAGACACGGTTCGCCACTGCAAAAACCTATATAACACACTGTAGGAAAGGACCCCAAAAGCATAAAGGGCTTCTTTAAACTGATGCACAATATAACAAGACGTCAAATCAAGCTCTTACACTTTTTTATTTATTTTTGTAAGAATTATTAAAATGTACAAAAAGACAACAAATACAACATAACAATATATTATCTGAGACTGGCTGTGGTTTTTTTTCTCCCTCTGGTCAGGTAAAGAGAGTCAGTGGTCAAAGTGAGAGAGCAGCCTCTCCACACCGGGGGTCTGAGGGGAACACGACGGGGTTTTCTACCGGGGGCTTTGCCAAAAAGAACAAAGTAATAACATCAATAATGAAAATAAAAAATGTGAATGTCTGACTGAGAATCCGGTAGAGCAGAAAAGACATCCAGCGCGTGATGGAGGGACGTCTCTGGTGCTGATGTTTGTTCCGTGACAGAACCAAACCTCAGTGAAGACGAGCTCCTGCAGGGGGCGCCGTCGCCCTACCACGCAGGCGCCATGTTCGCCAGTCGCCTCATTCGCCTGTGGAGAGAAGGGCAGTGTCAACAACAGTGTCAGCAACCGCAGACTATTACAAACCTCACTCTTCTTACTAGAGGTCCAAATACTATTCGTTTAACGTGATGATAATCAATGTTATTAAGATCATTTCATCTATTTAATGGGTCCTATGGTTGAATGCTGAAGGGTAACGTCTTCCAAACAGAGTGGTGCAGGGATGAGTCCTAAAGCGTGGAAATTAGTAAGCATTTTAGAAATGACGGTCCACTGTATCAAAGTATTTTGATTGGGTTTTTGCTTGGATTCCCGAAATAAGGTGCAAATAAGAGCTTATAACATTTGTATAAAAATGTGTTCAATGACAAATATATGTCAATAACAACTCACTGGTGAATGTCAGAAGTTTTTACGTGTCTTAAAATGGCGGTTGCTAACAAGTGCCTATATGAGACAGCTAAACATTATCATGCTGAGCATTAGCCGCCTTGAGCTTAGCGGTGGTGATGATATCTTTTTACTTTTGTCGAATGCATTTATCCTTAACTTATTGTTAAAGTGGCGTTTCTATGTGGAGATTATCCCGCTGAACAAAATGTTTAAGTATAATAAACATGTGTTTGCAACAGATCTTATTTCTGAAATATACCAAAACAAACAATATACAGCTGTAAAAAATGATCTTCAAAAAAAGAGGCTGGAACCATCAACTTAAAACATTTTTATAATTAAACAATTATCCAATATATCAACATCTGATCTACTCTTCATGAAGTTACTCAATTGATTACGTTTTAAGCACTATTCAGTTCACAACAAATGTTTGACATTTTACTTTTCAAAAATGACTTAAGAGATGATCATTTATCAAGATGATCGTGTTAATCATATCTGACTAATATTGATTAATGTGCACTGTCCCTGTTAAACTAATCAATTCATGTATTACCTTTTTTTTTTACAGGTCCCTTACTAAGTCAGGACTGTATGGGTTCAGAACAGTCTCATAATACACACATGCACACAGAAGGATTCACACTTGTATTTCATGATCCGCAAAAGGATTCACACTTGTATTTCCGGATTCACACTTGTGTTTTCTCCGGACTGCGCAAAATGCGTACATGAAGCGCTACGTCATGAACGCAAGAAATCTACCCCTCGTGGGTCGCGCTCATGTGATTGGCTTAGACTGGAGGAGACATCTGATTGGCTATAGATGAGAGAAATTACAAGTACGAATCGGCTGACCGTCAGGGGAGTCTAAAAAAACTTACACACGAATGCACAGTGATCCGTGCACAGGAAGCGGTTTGTGTTTGCAGGTTCAGATGTTTTAAACGGAAAACAAATATGTGTGGATCAAAAATACATACGTAAAACTTTTTTCTGTATTTGGATTTTATTTACATGTATATGAAACGGAACACATTTGTTTGTGCATTGAAAAACACAAGTGTGGATCCGGAAATACAAGTGTGAATCCTTCTGTGGATCATGAAATACAAGTTTGAATCCTTCTGTGTGCATGTGTGTATTATGAGACTGTTCTGAGCCCATAGGACTGAACTATGTCATTTGGCACTACAAAAGTAGAATAGTGAATTAAGCTGCAACGATTAGACAAGTAAAGGATGATTCAATTGACAAGAAACTCTTTTGATCTTAAATAGATCAGTTGGGTTATAATGTATATACCTCTGATTTCCATTCTGTTCTAGTTTTTATTTATCTCCACAGGAAGGAAGTATGGTAACAAACAGCTGACTGCTCCATCATGGAGGTGCATTAAAGCCTCAGCCTCACTCACCTGGTGTTTCTGTCCTGATCTCTGATCTTCTTCTCCATCTCTGCGTCTGTCAGGGTCTCCAGCAGGGGGCACCACTGGTCGGCATCGCCTGTGTTTCTGATGGCTATCTCCACTGTGGGGAGGGGGTTCTCACTGCAAAACACCAACCAAAAACAATGGTCACTATGGATGTACTTCACTGCGGACTCAGTGGATGTGTTCCCTCTGCTGCAGCTGGAGACTCAGATGTGGGTTTCCTTTCAAGTGACTCAGATGGGATGTTTTCTAATCAATCCATAACAGGGAGTCACTTCCCCCCGTTTACGCAAATCTTGAAGCGCGCAAGTTCCAAGCAACGGTAACAATAGCGTAATATTATAACAAGTTACTAAAACATTTAGCATAGTTTTGATGAGCAGCGTGAGGAAAGACGGGAAAAACACATCCTGTTTTGAAAGAAAACAAGATATGTTAGGAAACAGCACAACTCCAAAGAAACAAGCGTGAGAAGCAAGTAAAATAATGGATTTAACTTCATGCATGCTGATGAATATATGAACATAAATGTTTACCGCCCTGATCATCTCTGTTTGATTGATTGCATTACCAATCATTCATCGTTATCATGAAATAAGCAGAGAAATTGAATATTTCTTCCACAACGGATATCCAACTGTTACGGAGATCAGTCTGGGTTTAGAAATATTGAATTACTTCACATCCCAGGGAGGTGAGGAACTCGCAGACAGACTGTCGGCTACGATTCACCCAGACAATATCCGTGAGAGCAGTAAATAGCAGCCATGGCAACGATATACACAACCACAGAGATGTCAACAGGCCAGACTTTTCCAAAGCGCTTGTTTCTGCAAGTAAAAAATGTAATATTTCAAAATGATGAATAATTGATCAATGTGTGATCAAAGTGCCCCTTCAAAAACATTACAATACACTATTACATTATGGTAATATTTGTTTGTATTCTTGAATGTTAAAACATCTAATTCTTCAGGTTTCTTATTGTCAACGTTACAGTTATAATCAAGATTTCAATAACCTCACAAGGAGATTGACGTAATGATGGAAATAAAACATGTTGTGCACTTTAGAATTAAGTACAAATATATTTACGTTATTTGCAGTGTTTAGTATTTGCCTCGTTTCATTAGGGTAAACGCTGAGCATGTGTTGTCAAGTTGGTGAAAATGTTTCTTCATTTGCATGTGTTTTGGCAAATTTGTGTTTTTATATTTGCATCGATTTAGAACAGGGGTCTCCAACACATCGATCGCGAGCTACCGGTAGCTCGTAAGTAGGGATGTAACGATACCAAAAACTCACGGTACGATAATATCGCGATAACAAGTCCACGGTAAAGTATTTATCGCGATATTGAATAATAAAGGGAAGAAAAAAAAAATCAGAATATCTTTTTCTTCAATAAAACATTTTTTTACTCGGAAAATGCTTCTTTATTACATAATAAATCTGATTTTTACAGCATTTTTGTAGGATAGCAGTATTTTAAAGTGTCAAAAACAAAGTGACAGTAACAGACTGGAACAAGAAAACCAGTGTTTTTGTACCTACCAGTACTACCAAACAAAGTAAGCATTTTCTTTATGCCACTGCATCTCACAAATAAACAAGGACATTTAATAATCAGACCCTGCAATAAAATAAATCAAGTTTCACTTTAGTTTTTCAAGTAACTCAACTCAAACTCACTAGTCACTCACTCAGCATCATCAGACAGGTTTTTAGGAATATGAGAATGTCCACATTTCCAGGTATTTATAAGCTGGGGTGTTTGGGCATTTACAATATCCCCTGCTCTGGAAAAAACTCTCTCGCTTGGTACTGATGTTGCTGGGACACCAGTGGTCGCGTTAACCGAATATTTTATTTAACAATGACGGAAAAATCTGAAAGCAGTCTGTCATTTTGACAGATTAGAACAAACTCTGAACAGCGCCAACGTTTCCCCAGAGCCAGGCTCTGGTGTTATGCCGTGTTATGCATGCCCTCCAAAAGGAAATGATATAGTTTCCAAACCGTACTTTGCCGTACAGATCAATACATGTCTGGGAGGTCTTGCTTTACGCTGTGCGCGTCCCGCGAGGTGCATGCACACACGGCATAACACCGCCCCCCCCCCACCCCCCGTTGACAGTTCACGAGCATGCTCTATCGTGAACTGTTCAGACCCGACGGGTAATAAGGGATTATGACGGATATTTTACTATCCTGTCTGTCAAAATGACGGACAGCGAAAAAGTCTAACGCCAGGCTTATTGACAGGGCGAGATATAAATATATGGTTGGTACTTGTCAATGTCTCTAGGTGTGTAAATGTAGCCCTGTAAATACGATGTCCTTTTGTGTTATCTGTTGTTTTATTTTCATGTTGTAACCTACCTGCTGCCATGTTGGACAGGTCTCTCTTGAAAAAGAGATCGATGATCTCAATGGGAACACCTGGTTAAATAAAGGTTTAAAAAAAAAAAAGTGTTTAAAAAAAAAATTAAAAGAAAATTAAAATTAAACTTTTTTTAAAAACATCAGTTATATCGGCATTCAGAATATTCCATCGGTCATCCATTATCGCAGCCAAGTTCAATCATCATCAATAATCATCGCTCATAGTCATACTGCATATCATCAACCATCATATCATCACATCACCATCATCCATCATCATCATATCATCACATCATCATCTCATATATCATCACCATCATCATCATATCATCATCGTCATCATCATCCATCACCATCATCATCATCATCATCACCATCACCATCATCATCAATCTATTATCGTCACCATATCATCGGCATCATCTATTCGTAATCTTTGTAATCATCTCAGTTGATCACCAGATTACCATGAGACTTACCGGATGAACATTTATGTACATCATCAGCCACACCAGTACATAAACTTTATGAGTCACGAGCATCATGATGACGTCTCAGCAACACCTACCAGTCACGAATCATCGTCAGTCAGCTTGACTGATATATGCTGTAGTGAGAGGTTCCAGTTAGCATCCCTGCTACATTGCTTATATGGCTTATAGCGCCATAGCCGCCATTTATGTTGAAGGGTTATGGCAGCACTTTGCTGGTTTTAGATGCGATAAAACTT